ACATAATTATCGAATTGTAACATAATTTTTTCTAAAAACAAAGCTTGAAAATTGTATGTAACATAATCGATAATTGTAACATAATTTTTAATTCAAGTATCTGGGCAAAATCAACTTAATTTTATCCAGATTAATTAATTTAATTAAGCATAAACGCTGATTTATAGATTTCCTTCCTTTCTCCCGTAAAAGATCAACAATACCGTAGTGCTGTTTATAGATTCCCGTAAGGTATTTATAGTTCTAAAGGTAACGGTAGAGGCAGCGGTAGCGCTAGCCCTAAACCAAACCATGGTTTGGTCTAGGGCGCTAGCCAAGTTGGGCATTGAATATTATATGAAACAATTTATAGTTCTCAGAGGTAGTGGTAAGGAAAGTAGAGGCAAGAACGTAGCGGCAAGAGATGACCAACTTTCATCTTTTCTTACCTCAACCGCTACTCCAGCCAATAACACGGTAGTTTTTAGTTGGCAGCCTCGCCTTATAAGTTTAGTGTTTATGCGAGGGGCCGCCATTACCGCTACCGCTACTTTCTGAACTATAAATCCAGCTTTATACTATTATTAACAAATTTTATAATTTTCTAAAAATTCGATAATATTTTCAACCCTGCTTCTTTCACTTTTTTATGATTAAATTATAATAATTATTGAAACATAATTATTACAACTATTGTAACATAATTTTTCGAAAATTCGATAATTTTATTAACCCAATTCGATAATTTCAACTTTTACATCTGGCAACGCTACCATTGGTAGCGTCCGTTAAATATGATGCCATGATTGTTAGGTACATGCAAAGGGTTTTCATGTTTATTTGCTTCATTCCACAGATTGTAAAGGTTCATTCGCCATCATTGCTATTTGTTATATGTTTGTCATAAAGTTTATTGCCAAGTTATTGTGTTTTGTGGTTATTTGTTTGAGGTCTATAGTGGTAAGTGAATATTTTATTAATTTTCTAATCATAGTTATCATTTTAAATTGTATTGGTCTAAAACTAATACAATTTTAAATTAAATAGGTAGGTATACCTTCAATGCTAACCGAAAGTTTATAAATTGCACTTAAATATATATATTTAAGTGCAATTTATAAACTTTCGGTTAGCATTGAAGGTAAAACATTAAAGGTGAATACATGCATACATTTATATACCGTACCTTTATTTGTAAGCTATACATAGGCTCGAGGGTAATTAAATAGGTAGGTATACCTTCAATGCTAACCGAAAGTTTATAAATTGCACTTAAATATATATATTTAAGTGCAATTTATAAACTTTCGGTTAGCATTGAAGGTAAAACATTAAAGGTGAATACATGCATACATTTATATACCGTACCTTTATTTGTAAGCTATACATAGGCTCGAGGGTAATCCTGCTTAAAATACCCCATAGAGACCTATACAAAATAATCTATCGGGCGCTACCGGATTGTGCATTTGTCCATGTTTTTTTCCGGATACGGCCTGATAGAAAATTTATAGGAAATTACCTATAGACACACCATAACTTTTACATTTTCCCTATTGAGACCGATAGAAAATAACTCAATGAAGGATATATAGGGATATCCCTATAGAGCAAACATAAAACATTTAACAAAATTTTATTAAAACCTATGGGTTCCTATGGGGAAAAAACTAATTTCTATATATATAGAAATTAGTTTTTTCCCCATAGGAAAATACACATAAATATTTATGTGTATTTTCCCCATTGAAACCAATAGCAAATAAATCAAGGGTGAATATCCCTATAGAACAACCATAAATCCCAACTATACCGATACACCCTATAGAAACACCATGCATTCCGATACAAATATCTATCGGTCTCTATGGGGTATTTTAATTGCTTAAGCAGCTCATTTAAATGAGCTGATGGATTGGCCAAATTTTGGGGATCATAAGGAGACAGGTGAAATAGGCCCTAAATGATTAGGCTGATAAAAAGGCAAATGACAGGTGGAGGAGTGATGGCAAGCCAGAGACTTCACTTCTTTAGTTATATGTAGTTTTCTGTTCTTTTTTATGTTTTCATAAAAATAAATATTTAAATTAAAGAATAAGACTTTTATTTTAAAACCCAATGTTATTTATTGAAAAGTAAATTTCCATTGATTCACCATATCCAATACAGATGACAACCATATTGCATTAAATACCCTATCCATTGGATATCCATACAATCTCCATATTGAATACAGATTACAACCTTATTGCATACAATACTATATCCACTGCATATCCATTGGATATCCACACTATGTCCAGGAGGGTCGGACATTTATATATCCAATGGTTATCCATTGGATATCCCGGATATCCTATGTATATCCTGGATATCCATAAAAGAAATCCATTGGATGTAATTGTTCCGTGTGGGTATTGAACCAGATAGAATTCCATACCTGGAAAACCATATAGAAAAGTGATTTCTATATAGATTGCCATATAGGTTCATATTGCTCTATCTGGCCCAATATGGTTTGGGTGTGAAAAAATTATTACCATATAGAATCTATATTATAGATCCATATTTAACCATATAGGGGATCTATATGGTTTAATATGCAATTTTCGTTTAAATATATATATACATTTTAAAATGGAATTCCATATTTAACCATGGTTAAATATAGGGAAACCTATGTGGAAAGACACATAAAACAGAAACCAGATAAATCCATATAAAAATCCCTAAGTTGTACATTTTAAAATGAAATTCCATATTAAACCATATAGATTTTAAAGTGTAAACCAGGTCGTTCCATATAGGACATATGACATATTGACAAGCTTGTCAATAAACATATGCACATAAACTATAGTTTATGTGCATATGTTTATATAAACATCAGAAGAACAAAATAGATAATTATTATTATACCGTAAATACGGGTGACTTTGCACCCCGCGGGTGCAGTAGCGTAACTAGGGGGGGGGCGGGGGGGGGGGGCGGTCCGCCCCGGGCGGCACTTCTTGGGGCGGCAAAAATCGTGAGAGAAAATGCGAAAAAAACTGGAAGACAGAATATAAAAATAAAAAAAATATTTGATAATTAAATATTCTCTTTCGAAATAATATAATTCAAATTCCAATAGATTTGAGATTTATACAATTACTCCCAAAATATTCCAAATCAAATAAAGCTAGCAAATCATTTTTACCTGTTTTATGTTAAATTAAAATATAAGTTTTGTTTTGTTTATCAAGAATGTATCTATTGTTTTTTTTTCTAAATATTTAAACATTTTTATTTATTTTTTACTCAGGTTTAAGTTTTTTTTGTAGGTACTTTTACATAAGGTTGAGAATTTATCTCTTTGTTTTTTTCATATAAATTATGTTAAAGCACATTTTATTTGTTGTTTTTCTTTAACTAGGTCTAAGAATTTTTGTTTGTTTTTAATTCTTAAAATATTACAATTTAATGTTATATATATATATATATATATATATATATATATATATGTTATATATATATATAATTATATATTTTTAATTTTGGGTACGGTCCTCAAAACTGACTCCTAACCTAACCTCTCTTCCCCCCCCCAAAAAAAAACATGAGGGCGACAGCCACTGCTGCCCCGGGCGGCACTTTTTCTAGTTACGCCGCTGCGCGGGTGACTTTGCACCCCGCGGGTGACTTTAACCCATTTATGAAAAATCTTTTCGCGCTCGATAAAATTAACATTTATAATTTGTTGGTCTAAACCTGTCAATTGAGCGATTCTATTGAGTTTATATTACAGGAAAATCAGTGTTTTAAAGAAAGAAATTGGATTTATTACACTTTAAAATTGTATATATCGTATCAGTGCAAAACTCTTGGAAATACACGCGTTACAATTTCTATATTATGCGCAATCCATTGGAATGATGATCCTTGGTTAACTGCAGGTCGATTTTTTATTTTTTTTATTGGTAATCCCTTGCAATAGATATATGTCGCTGCTATCACGTGTCTAATAAAAATAAGATATAATATTACATTCATTTTATACTGAAAAAACACTGTGAGACAAAGTAACCCGCAACCAGGGGGTAACTTTGCACACCCAGTTTTTAATGTTTATTTTTGAAACTCAGCCCTATGTAATATTATAACTTAGTTATTATGAAAGAGCAACTCAAGACTCAAATTTTGGTATACAAAATTTAATGTTTATGATTGTTAAAACCACAAAAATTTTAAGCTGAAGTTTGAAAGTGAGCCAAAGCCACCCGTGTTTACGGTACCTATAGGCTATACAAAAAAACTTCTAAAAAAAAACAATATTGTTGGTAAAATAAAAAAATAGTCTACCTATAGGTATCGATAATTAATTTTCTTTTTTAACAAAGATTGAGGTATTTGGCTTCAATAATTGCTTTGCATGTAAACGTTTTCGACGTTTTTTATCTTATTCTCATGAGCAAAGAGTTCTAGGACGGTTCTGGGCGAACTTGGAACAAACCTTATGTCCACAGATTATACCTTATGTCAACACTGAGTAGACAAGGCGCGCTGCCAACAGTTTAAAACTAAAATTACCAGGATACTAAAACAACTCAGTATCACCAACCTAAACTTTTAATTTTTTCTTTAATTTTTATTTAAATAAAGAAAAAAAATCTAAAACTGGAAAACGTACTGAAAACCAATAACGAGGTACTTGCGTACTTTTTTAATTCGAAAGTACTGAATTCGGTACAAACGTACTGACGCTGGCAACACTGGTTATAACTGCTGCCAACCTAGAATTTTCATAAATAGCTGAAACATAATCGCAACGTTGCCTAATTTCTTTTCGGTGAAAAAGTATGCTTCAAAATTAATACTTAAATAATGTTAAAAGAATAGTGTAAAAAATTATAACACAATTATTGTATTATGGTATGCTAAAAAAATGGAAGGTATAGACCTTTAAAATTATGGTACAAATATCATTACATTATGGTACGATTGGCAAAACTTAGTAACTAACTTCATGTTTTGTTCTGTGCCTCATAGGTTACAAATTTAAAAAGAAGTGTTATTTGTTATAAAACATAAAAGAAAAATAGTTTTCGTAGTGTCTTAAGATAAAAATGTTTAAAATATTAACAAATTTATTAAGGGATAAAAACATCATGGCATCAAAAGGTTAGTAAGGTTAAATTAATAAAAGTATATAATACGGACCCGGAATTTCGAACGACTATCATCCCGTTGACGTTAAAATCTAAAATTTCTTTATGGAAAAATTGTCTAGTTACCTATAACTATAGTTGTCCTGGACAACTAACCTTACTTTCCGGTTATCACAATTTTTGTACTCTGACAGCAAAAGCAAAAATGGTTATTATTGTGTCTTTGCTGTTTACCCACTGTTTACATATTTAGATATATTTTTGATAATATATATATATATATTATATTATATAATAATAGATTTGAATAACTAGATTATATTAATTTAATTTTGTTTTTAATTAAAAGTTTAGTACAACAGGTTATGTTTAAAATAGTTGCTACGTTCTTAAAAAGTTAAGAAGTCTAGTCCTAATTTAAACGGACATTTAAAAAAAACTGAAATAATTACCATAAGTACCATACCTACACAGGTAAGATTTAAAATATTAATATGAAATTGCATAAACATCAAATGATGCTGGATTTATTCAGCACAAATTTGCAGCTATCCATTATGCAGCTAATTTAAGGTGGGTATTTCATGCAGAAAAATTACCACAACGTTGCCTAATGTGTCTGTAAATATTAACCTAACATCAATAATTGTGTGTCTCGGTCTGATTCAAAGACTCTGGTCTGATTGGTTTTAAGAAGTTTTCTTTTGTATCTTAGTTCGTGTTTAGTGTATTAAAGAAATGCTGGTAGCTTGCAAAATTTGTTTTAAAATATTCTCCCAGCAGAGCTGTGTTAACAAACAGAAAGAAAGAAATATTTTGTCCTATGATATTAACTGTTTTAAAGTGTTTGGAAAAAGACTGCCAAACTTCTTATAGGTTTGCTACAGATTTAAGAGACCACCTGGAAACAGTCCCTAACAAGACCATGAAATAAGAAATTCTGTTTTTTCAAACTATAGGAGGTAAGAACTAGTTTTGACTTTTTCGATATTTATTTATTTAATATAAAGTGAACTTATTCTTAATTTTAGAATTTTACGATTGGTTAGATAGGCTTTTTCAAAACAATAATTTGGAATATACTTGTCATAACCAGAAAGATGAAGAACTTATTTACTTAAACTGTAATAGATCAGGTAAGGTAGGTGACATCAACTTAAATTAGCAGGGCTCCCACACCTCCTAAAACTCATAAAATTCTTAAAATTTGTCTTAAATCTTGAAAACTCCTAAAATTCTCCTAAAATTGCCATCAATCTCCTAAAACTCCTAAAAATTAAATATGCCAACCTGACTGTGTTTAATTAAGGTAGTGCTAAAAAATTAATTTTTTAAATAGTAAATAAAATAATTTTTATTATTAGGTTCTAGTTTATTAAATTCTTTTTAAAATCATACACAACCTACATTTTTCAAAAAAAAAAACAAAATATACCTTAAAAACAAAATCTATGTAATAGCTACTAGACTTCTACAAAATTGTCATTTTAGCCATATTTTGTTTGTTTTTTGACAAAAATATACTGGGTTATATATCAAACAAAGGGATTCTTAATTTTATTTTAAATGATAGCAAAAATAGTAAATAATCTAAAGAATGTTTTGCTGTATTTTGCAAACCTCATATTTTTTCTATCATGAAATTTTTACAATTATAATTATAGTTAGTTATTAACTAAACGGTTAACATTTTTTTTCTTAAAATATAAAAATAACATCATTTGACATTGTCAAATATATTCTTCTTTTATTAGGCAATACAATACATAAATTTAGAAAAAACGCAAGAAATATGTTATAAAAGTAGAGATAATTTTAATAATTGACAGGTGTAGATAGTACAAAATAAATATAACTAAAAAAACAAATTGTTTTCTATTCAACAAAAAAAAGCAAAAATTTGCAAAAGCATCATAAGCATCATATCAAAGCCTTTGGGCAAATAAAAAAACTAGTAATCAAAATTTTAGTATAAGTAGTGATTATTTTTAAAGGGTTTTTTAAAATTAGTTAATTTTGAAAATAAAAAACACTTTAATGCAAATATTTAGATTTGGTTTTAAACAGGTAATGTTAAATAATTTTTAATTTGTTTAGGTTTTAAAAATATTTTAATTAAGTTAAGTTAATATTATTTTAATTATGTTAAGAGTATTTTAATTACTGTAAGTATATTAGAGCCTAGTTAAATAAATTAAAGCATCTAAACCATACTTTTTTATGTATCAATAAATAAATAGTTAGGTATTTATGTTTTATTTATTATTTTAGCATTGATTTTAAAGTGTAGGTATTGGGCAGTTCATACAACCTTATGACAAGAGTATTTTAATTAAGTTTGAACGAATATTTTAATACTGTATACTGTAGATATATTAGAGCCTAGATAAATAAATTGGAGTACCTATTTTTATAGCTTTTTTATGTATTAATAAATTAAATAGGTAATTATTAATAAATGTGCTACTGTAGCATTGATTTATGTATTGATTGATATAAATTATACTGTTTTGCAACTAGAAAATTTGTGTCGTTTTATTTATTTGCTTTTGATAAACATCTTTATACTAAAAACAATCACATATTATACTATTAGAAAAATGCTTACTTAAGTTAATTAACAATCTTTAGAGACAACTAAAAACACCATGGTGCAATAAATTATTATAATTTTAACGTCTATTCGAACAGAACCCAAGTAAAACATTATGTGAACTAATTAATTTTGTATGTCAACAATTGTAACTACCTATATGTAATTATTTATTAGAAGTTAATCAGATGTTCAGGTTTAAAGTTCCCGCGCAAAAGATACGTCATACATTTGGCAACGTCGCGGTACGGGGTAAGTATTTAGCGGCTCCTTAAAATTAGTGGCAAATTAAGCGTGCGTATAAGTTAAAGTAATTTTGACATCTGACATTTTTGGTTTGTTTGAATTTTGTTTAAACCCCGTTTTATCATCTGTTGAGTAAAATGAATGAAAACTATAAACTGCACGTCAAACAATAAACCAAATAAAACAATCATTGAACAAAAAATGAATCATTTGGAAGAACTTTTTATTTTATATTCGGGTATGTTGGCATTACTGACACGGTTTATTTAAAAATTGCGCCGCAACCTGCGCAAGAGTTATAAAAATAAACATTATCATTAAGAAGATAAAAGTTGGCCATCTCTTAATGTTAAAGTTAATGTTAATGTGTTGCATAAATGCTTCCAATGGATTACGTTCATTTAACTTCTTAGGCCCGTTATTTCCATTGCGAGTTAAATGCGAGTTACATATAAACTTAAAGTTAAATTTGAAAATCTATATTTCAATATGTGGATTACTGTAATTTGTGAGTTAACTCGAATTTACAATTAACTCGAAGCTCAGGTACAAGTTAACCTAGACATTGTGAATTAACTTAACCAAATGTTGGTTTATTAGGAACACAGCTAATCAAATATTATAATTCTAAATAAAGACATACAAAAATAGTAACGACAAACAATAATAAATGAGCTGACAATAATTAATTTTCCTTCATTAATATCTCCATCTTTTTTTGTTGCAACTGCAGCTTTTTGGTAAATTTTTTTATTTTTAATTCATGTTCTTTTGTTAAATTTTCCCTATGAAACCCAAAAAAACTTTTTCTTGGGTTAATTGTATACAGGACAGGCATTTAAACATTTATAAATGTTTAAATGCCTGTCCTTCTTCTTTTCTCTGTTCTAGCCGATATTAATTTACTGTTAACTGGTTTTTTCAACATTTTGGGGGTGTATAATGTCCAGTTGTTGGCTTCTCCTGCCCTCCCATCTGTGTTGACCATCCCATCACTACCAACAACAAATTCACCAATGGGGATGTCTACATTTGCTTTTGGCATTATTGTTACGATTTGTACCTCAGCATTTTCTTTTTCATGCTCCAAATTAGTAAGTTCATTTTCCATGTTCTTCATAAGGACTGATTCATCTTGATGATTAAACCATATATTTGATCACCTAATATTTCTTCCACTGTTTTGTATATTTCGTCCGTATCTTAAATTTTTCCTGAACATCCCCCAGTTTGTCTTATACTGTTCCTGTTTGACATAATTTTGACTTTCGATATTTTTTAATACTTATTTATTAGGCCTTTTTTATCTCGTAATACTCGAACAGGGCTGGTACTTATCGTTCAAAACCAGATTAAGCAGCAACTGATCTTCTGTTTTACTAAAATTCCATAGATGGTTTCCCAATTTGAAATAAAATCCAAAGATTAATAATAGAATCACGGATACCAACATAAAGATAAACTTCTGAACTTAGAGTTACTAAACTCGGGTAGCAAAATCTTTGGAAAAACTCATAAAAACATAACTTCAAGTTAACTTCGAATTTAAGTTAATCCTAGGTTTACTAACACGAAAGTTTACTCGCAATGGAAATAACGGGCCTTAATGATAATGTTAATCTTAAGATTAATTAATGTCAATTTTTGCTGCATCAATCCAGCATACATGATTTATTTATGATAAATCACGTATCATCACAATTATCACATAAGGAAGTATCTCATATTTAAGAATTTTAAGCTACATTCGTAATGAATTCGCTGGCCGAGTCACTGGCACGCAATTCGGCACGAAATTTTCCATTCACAATAACTTTAATAATTTTTAAGAGTGGGAGACGCCGAGACTCTTACACACTAGCAAATGCAAAACATAACTGAATCGTCGCCTAGTAGGCGACGCCTACGGCAATCCGCTTACAATGCATCTGGGGAGGGGCGACTCGAGTGTATATATTTCAAATGAAAATGCGGTATATCAAGATATGTTAATATACAAAAATAGTATAAAAAATTTTAACTTGTTATAGTGTTGAGTTTATGTAATGATAATTTATATAATGAGAAAATAGAGCAGGTAGAGTTTATAAAAAACCTACCCATTTAAATGATTATGTTTAAGTTTATTTAAAATATTGTTTTAGTTGATTTATATTTATAGATTTTTGTAATGA